CTTGACGGCAGAAATATCCCAGCATTCAATTCGGCATTCAAGGAAGGAGAGGCAGGTCAATACAGTAATTAGTTTTTCTACAATTACGTACGCTATTTCATCACTAAATTCACTTCTGAGAACATTTGATGCGAGAAATCAACTGTGTAGATTTAAAATATTGGCACTTTTACGAAAATTTATGGCGAATCGAAAATGTGCTCAAACGTTTTCGGGAGTGAGAATCTCCATAAGCGCCTGCGGGTGTAACGTTAGCTATCGAGCCAACCGGCCAGTTTGCTCACAGACTCGTGTTACCCCACCACAGTCAAGAGACCATTGCAGCCTGGCTGTTATCGTCAATAATTCTCGTTATGTTTGGGTACTGCAGACGGCGTCTGTGCGGGGGAATTATTGCGCAATACCAGCAAGAACACATCGTCTCAAACTGTCAGCAGCGTTCTGTGTGCTCGTCACCTTGTGAGTTCATTCTTCCAAGAACAACTAGCAAGAGCTTTCTCCCCAAGAACACAAGTCCGTTCTTTGCATTCTTGGTTTTGAGAAACACCCTAAGTCTCTACTCATTTATCTTATTTTTATTGAATGTGCGTGTGACGGAGAGCAGGTGGAACAATCTCCAATCACCAGAGTTTGACTGTGGTCTCATTCAGGATGTTATCAGTTGTATACATTTTATATGTGGTTTGCACTTTGATACTTCCTTTTTGAGCAGAGTGCTCGTGAATGTTATTGGTGCAGGCACCTGTAGGGGGAGCTCTCGTTTTATCTATAAGGCCTGTGGAAATGGTTATGTACAAATGTGTTGTTGTTGTTTTTTGGTACAGCACTACTCACAGAACAAATGTTGAAATGTACTTTGGAAGACAAACTACATTGATATATTTGTTCAGTGTACCTCTGTGTATCCAAAGCCTTGCCAGTCATTATTTGTTACCTGGAATTGAATTGTTTATACTGCAATGAAAATCTTTCAATGAAAATAAATACAGGTACAAAATGACATTATGGATATTTGTATTGTATTGCGAGCTTTTTAAACAGGAGGTTATGATATTACTTTAACTCCATAGATAAACAATCAAGAATATCTAAACATTGGCTTTCCTCAAGCAACTCCACATGCTCCTTTCTGCAGATCATCACACCTTTTTTAGCATTTACAGTAGTGTTGTAACACTCTCAATATTAGCGATGTTAATGTGTGATGCTAACGGACAGATATGAGGAGATATCAGACACTTTCATTCAATAACAAAATGTGGTTTATTTTGTAAAAAATAAATTAGTTGGCACTTACTCAGATTTAAACCTGTAACTGCTGCTCAGGGAAAAGAGTAGGAGACGTGGATCTAATTGCAGCTTTATTAAGTATGTGAAGGATAAACAGAAGAGAACAAGAAGATTACAGCCAAAGGAAAAGCAAAACGCTACAACTTAAAACAAGATGGCTGCATTTAAACAAGAACTAACAACAAACAAAGATTCAGGGTACGTTTACACGACTAAGATGTACTAAAAATTGTACTAAAAACTAATTTTTGTTTTGTTTTGTTGAGTTGGTTTGTTTGGTTTTGTTGATTTGTTTTTGTTTTGTTTTGTTGATTCGGTTTTGTTTTGTTTGGAATAAAATGAGTAGTCATTCAGATCCACACTCCATACCAGTTGGTGGCGGTAATACACCATTTTGTTGTGTGCCAATCGCCAAAGAGTATTTTGGGAGTGAGAGTGGGGACTCCAGGGATCTACTTAATATGATCCCTGTTAATTGTTACAATAATTTCGTTCTCTTTGAGTAGGGATTTAATTCGTAACAAATGGGGGCTCATCCGTTCGTTTTTTTTATTTTTTTTATTTTTATTTAAAAAAAATGTTTAGTGATTTTAGACAATTGTGTTTTTTCCCTTCTTTTCAATATGTATATTGTTATGAGTAAAATTATTGCATTAGGCCTACTGTCTTATGTTGTGTTTATATGCAAATTACATTTATGGACAGAAATAAAGGACTCTTATTTTGACATTCTGGCTGGAGAGTCGCGAACGAAACAGTGAACTGCGCATGCTCCCTCATATCTGCAGAGGAGCTGTGAAAGAGCAGACGCGACTCTATCGTTCTTTTCATTGAATCCTGTTTTACAGGTAAAAACATGGACAAACAAAAGAGAATCATTTAACTATACCACAGCGATTTCACTATTACCATGTTTAGTGAATGTAAAGTGTTAAATGTGTTTTATGATATGTTGTTTGTCCTGATGTATGCTCACTATAACATGAGGAAAATGAGATAAGTTTGCTCCAGTGGTCATTATATTTAGCTATAGTGTTGTATTAATAGTTTGTGTGTGATAAAAAGTTTGTTTGCTCATGTTAATTAGTTAATAGATCGCGTTTCATCGTGTATCTTTTTGAAGCCTCTATGTTTGAAGCTCACTCTTTGGCGCGCTTGTCAGTCACGTGACCAGGCACTTAGAGAAGCGTAGAAAGCCACGATCTGTGTATCCATCAATAATCCATCCTGTGTAGGTAAAAAAAAAGTGATTGTTTCACAATGGTATTAAGGAGCAAGTGCCTTTTGGAATACACATTTTCAGAGTTCATATGAATTAGGTTCATACTTAATCTCATTGTGTTCATGAATATTTGTACTGTTTATAAAATATAATATATATATATATATATGTATGTGTGTGTTAAATGTTAACTAAAGATGGTAAAGTGAAGAAATGAGACAAAGTGATCTATTTTGATGTTGGTGACAAAAGTGATGTAATGGGAATTAATGCTTTTACAGCAATTGTGGTGCTTAATTGTCTTATTGTGCATTAAATAAAGATATATCTGCAGAGGAGCTGTGAAAGAGCAGACGCGACTCTCGTTCTTTTCATTGAATCCTGTTTTACAGATAACAGTAATCTGTCAGCTGGGTCTCCTGAGCCGGGACCTGCAACAAATTTACAAATGCTATAAACCGTTGTCCGATTTTTCGGTGGGTAGGAATTATTCCTAAAAATCTTGCTGTTCTTAAAAGGAAAAAAAGCAGGGATGAATGTTAAATATGGAGTTTGACATTGAAGCATTTCTTTCTAAACCGAATACAGCAATTTAATGCGTTTTGGGGAAAAAAAGCGACAAAAGCATGAAAATAGTGTGTTACATTTGCGTGAGTTGGAGATGGTGCATAGAGAGAAAGAAAGAGAGCATGCACGAACTGCCATGCCTTCATCTAATCACTCTGCAGAAAGGGTAACTTATATGCCTACTGATGTGACTTCATTTGATCCTAGTAAGCATATTAATATTGTGCTTCCTTTTCAAGAGTCAGAGGTTGATGCTTATTTTATTGCATTTGAATGAATTGCTGCCAAACTCAAATGGCCAAAGGATATGTGGGCATTAATGATGTAGTGTAGTTTGGTGGGAAGGCACGGGGAGTCTGTTCTGCTTTGCCCATTGAAGATTCTCTGAATTATGATTAAGTAAAAGCTGCTGTCTCGCGGGTTTAGAGTGTAAGACTGGAAGAACTGGAAGAGAGATCTACTCTCTAAAAGAGAACAAAGGAAATTAACATTTGAACTCACTCTTGTGAAGTTAGCATTACCATTTGAGACGAAAAGTCTCACCTCAGAATACATCTTTCTCTCTCCCCTACTCCTTCCAATCCCTCATGCTGAGATCACCTGAAACTCATATGAAACCCAAAATCGGTTTTAATGTGAACAATTATCATACAGTTTTATACATGTTTGGTATCATTTGAAATGTCTCAGTTCGACTGGTACAAATGTCTCATTTCCAAAGAAGTAAACCAAAAGGTAATAAAGTTCTTAATAGTTTAGAAATATCTTGCACATCGAAGGGTGTGACTTCCTGGCAAATGCCCTCTGTTCGCAAAAGGTGTAACCTCTGAATACAAATTTCCATTGTTAGCACATGTTTCCATGTGAAAGAGATTCAAGTAGCCAAAGGATATGACTATAATGAAATAGAGCAAAGGGCTCGGCGTGTTTTGTAACCCAAAATTAGCTCGTGATGCAAAGTGGATGCCGGCACTCCGCATGTTAGACTAACTTCTAACCTTATTTAACATCTAACATTTGAACAGAATGTACTGTACGAAACCAAGGGAAAACTTTTGACTTTGAGTGTGTGTGTGTGTATATAAATAACAAATATGGGAAATGAAACTAGACAGGGACAGGTGTCTAAACTCGAAACCAAAAACAGTGTTTGGTTACCTAGTAACAAGAGGGCTTGTCTATGAAGAACCAATCAAATTAAGTAATGTTTCATGTCATTTTTTGCCATACCTCCTTATTCTATAAAACTGTTGTATTTGTGTTTTACTGGTGGGATTCTCAATGGAATGTGTCTGAGATCCACCGACCATGCTTATTGCTTCTTTTTGGGAGATTTCCTGAGAACTGCTCGGAAAGATCTCCCGGCCGTAATTAAAGTATTTAGAGGAGATTTTCTGAGGTCTGTCAGTTATTACTGCTGCGCAGCAGGTCAGTTTAGGGAAGCAAGTAAGTTAGTAAGCAAGTAAGATTGAGTATAGGTAGGGAACTCAGCTGTAGTCGACTGTAGGGCTGTTGGAACAAATTCCGAAATTCGAATATAATTCGAATATTTAAAAAATCATACTATTCGAATGCTGAAGTTACTATTCGAATATTGTATTTTTTATGTATATTTTAAAAAAATTTTTATATATACAATCTCGCCTTTCTCATGGCATAGGCTTACACGCATGTGAAAATGAAATGCTTTTGTTTCGTCTGATGAACAATAAAGTTTTAGAATCGTAACACAATTGTGCACGTTATCCACGCTCTATCATAACAATAGTCAAAAATGGCGGAGAGCAATGTATCCACAGAAACGGAGATCACCACTCCTGACAATTTGAGAAGCGATGTGTGGAAACTGTTCGGATTTCAAAGCATAAATGGTAAAATTACGAATAAAGAAGTGGTAATCTGCAGAATATGCAAAATCCGAATGAAATATCACTCCTCAACTAGCAACCTGAGGGCACACCTGACAACGTTACACCCTGACAAGCTGGGCGATCTGTCCGAGGAACCGCCGCTAAAACAAGCGAGAATTACTTCTTTTCTGCCTCTCTCCTCATCACGGGGCTTACCAGCTGTCCGCCAGAAGGCGATAACAGACAAACTGACACGGTTTATCTGTAAAGATATGAGACCGATCAACATCACACAGGGATCTGGATTTAAAGATTTTATTCGCGAGCTTGAGCCAAGGTACACCGTTCCTAGCCGCGCAACAATCACTGACAGAGTTGTGAAACTCTATGAGACAACATCAGACAACGTCAGACAAATGATCAGTGGAAAAAAGATCGCCCTGACCACAGATGGCTGGACATCACTTGCCACAGAGGCATATGTGACGGTCACCGCACATTTTATAAATGATGTTAGGGAATTAAAAGATGTCATTCTCAAAACGGCTGAAGCGCAGAAAAGCCACACCGCCGAGAACGTTGCTGAGTGCATCTCAAACATACTCGGAGAGTACAACGTTAGTCGTGAGTCAGTGCTTTCCATCACCACTGACAACGCGGCTAATTATATCAACGCTGTCGAGAGGCGCCTGCAGGTCGTCAATGTCCCGTGCATGGCACACACCATTAACCTGGCTGTAAGGAAAGGGCTGGCAGTGCGAGCTATAGAAACTCCAGTGAGCAGACTGAAGGCCACAGCACTGCATTTTAACAAATCAACTACCGACAGCTACCTTTTAGAATCCAAGCAGGAGCTGCTTGGTCTTAAACATGCGAAGCTAATAAACGACTGTGCCACGCGATGGAACAGCACTTACGACATGGTGTGTCGGGCAGCCGAGCAACAAGCTCCGGTAGCAGCGGTCATCATGGAGAAGAAACTTGGTCATCTCGAGTTGACTACCAGCGAGTGGACCCTTATGGAGCAGGTGAGTGACACAAATTATGTACAATAAATATACTATATGTATGCATTACATGTAATAACCAGGTGATATTGATTGACCAATTAATAGGCTAGTTTTTCATTAATAATAGGCTACAGAAGAGGGCATATCTGTGTTACGTTAAGCTGCTAGCCATAAAAATTATGCCAATTATGTTTGTGTGTGTATTTTCGTAGGTGAGAGCAGTGCTTAAGCCATTCAAAGTGGCCACTGAGGCATTATCCACCGACCGATTTCCAACAGCATCAGCTGTTCTACCCCTGAAGTATGTACTTTTGTCACATCTTCAGCCATCCACGGGTGATCCGGCAGCTCTCAAAGAAATGAAAACGAAGATAAAGACTGACCTCTACAATCGATACAGTCAAGACAAAGATGCCTTCAAGCTGCTTAATACGGCTAGCTACCTTGACCCGCGTTTCCATCGGCTAATTCATTTAGAACGAGACCAACGGCAGGAGGTGCGCGAGAAAATAAAAGGAGAGATAAGTCAGCTGCCAGTGTTTGCGGAGCGAGCAGCCATGGCGATAACGCGCAGGGAGAAAACCGCTCTCAGTGCTATGGGGGACCTTTTTGGTGATGTTTACCGCCAAGGAGCAGACGCGTCAGATGGTCCCTTAGATATAGGAGCCGTCCTAGAGCAAGAAATGTTGATCTACGAAAGTGAGACCCCACTACCCTCCGATTGCAACCCATTATCATGGTGGATGACGTCACAGTCTAAGTACCCCCACCTTGCCCAGCTGGCACGGCGCTACTTGAGCATCCCGGGCACCTCAGTTAGAGCAGAAAGGGTTTTCTCTACGGCTGGGATTATAGTAAATAAAAAACGCTCTGCACTGGATTCAGAAAACGTGGATCGTCTTGTGTTTTTGGCCAACAACCTTAGGGATTAAATCCTGCCAATGTTTTTTGTAATGTTAAATGTAACGCACTTTGATTTAGGCATCTTCATTTTTTTTTTTCAATTTGTGAAGATCGGTTGTGTTCAATAGAAGCTGTGCAGTTATTGATGCAGTCTCAGCAGCCATTGTTTTTGTTTTTTTTTATAGAAAAAATGTCTATTAAAGTTGACAAATTAAAGTCATTCATTTTGTTCCGCTGTTTTATTGTTAATAAGAAAGCGATCACCTGTTTTGTAAATGTTTATTGTAACGTTAGATGTCCCTCTAGTGGACAGAACGTGTAACAACAACCACATGCTATAGTGGCATTGGTGATCCATAAGCCTGTGTAGTGTCGTAAATATTAATAATAGGATGAATTTGAGCATTTAATATTCGAATATTATTCGAATATTAAATAAAATAAGGAATGGAATTCGAATAGTATTATAGAGGAAGATTGACAGCCCTAGTCGACTGTAGACTTGCTTGAGTATAGACTTAGCCGACGTCGACGAGTAGAGTAGAGAGCTAGAGTATAGGTAGCACCCAGTCGACAAGTAGACGCGCTAGGGTATAGGGTTAGACTCGCTTGACGAGTAGACGCGCCAGAGTATATAAATAATATAGGACGTAGTCAATTAAACTGAATAAACCACTTAGATTGATGGGTTAACATTACATTAAACTGTCAGGTGGTTGGTTTTGACATTGGCTGTCATGAGGCTATTATAACCGTGTCATGAATATTTTTCTTGACCTCAACTACAGTGGTACAAATTGAATTTGTCATTAAAATGTTAAAATGGCCTCATGACAGCAAATGTCAAAACCAACCACCTGACAGTTTAATGTAATGTTAACCCATAAAGCTAAGTGGTTTCTTCAGTTTAATAATTAATCTGCAATGTCATGTTTATGACATATTTATGACAGGTTGTGTTGTCTTAGTAATGTCATCATGACAAAGACACTGACAGGTTATGATGTATTGGTTTATGTCAAGGTGTCATAACAAAGACATTGTAAGGAACTCAGCTTTTTGGAAATATTAATAATCAATAATAACTTGTTATTATTAATTATTAATATTTGGGTCAGTTAATTGGATTAACTTGATGTGGCTGAATTAATATTACAATCAATTAATCAGTTCGTCCAACGAACTCTTTTGATTATTAATTTATTCTAAGAAAAGGGTATCTTCCATGGCCCCAGAAGAATAATTATTTCTTAGCATGTACAGCACTTTGAGCAAGTAGCAAAAACCGCGATCGTAAAAGTGACTTTGTATTGCAAACAAGACAGAACCAAATATATATTATTAGGGGTGTGTCAAAAAATCGATTCACAGAAGAATCTAGATTATCATTTGCAACGATTCAGAATCGATCTGAAATGTCCAAGAATCGATTTAATAAATAAATAAAATCAGCTGGCTGTTCGCCTCCATTTTTGTAACTAGCCTATACGGACGTCACCACGCAGCCGGTTTTTGAACGTGAGCGGCAAATCACTAAAACAAAGAGGAAGCAAATATGGATGAGAGGGAGATCCAACCAGCCCCGTCTTCACTTAAAGCTAAAATTTGGCGTCATTTCGGTTTTTACCGAATGCCTGGAAGCACTGCGCTGGACATGACACACACAGTGTGCAAGCTTTGCAAAACGAAGACCAAGTACTTCGGCAGCACAACAAATGCGCGGGCTCATATTACTAGGCATCACCCGGAGCTCAGCGACACGGAGCAGAGTCAGCCGCCAGCTGCAGACCAACGCACACTGCAGTGCTTCACGAAACTCCCTGCCAACTCCGAGAGGGCAAAAAAAATAACTCGGTCTATCGCCTGCTTCATCGCCAAAGACCTAAGGCCTTACAGTGTGGTTGAGAACGAGGGGTTCGTCTGGATGTTACAGACTGCGGAGCCGAGGTACGCCATACCGTCCCGCAAGTTTTTCACTGAGACCGCTGTGCCACAGCTTTACAATGAGACTAAAAGAACGGTCGCCAGTGCCCTAACCAAAACGACCAGAGTAGCATTAACATGTGATTAGGGGTGTGACGGTTATTATATAACCGTGAGACCGACGGTTATAGTTGAACACCGTCATTAGAACTCTATAACCGCCAAAACCGTGCTATTAAAATATTTTTTACAAACATTTTTTGTCATAGAGAATGTTTAAATACTAATATCAGCTTAAGAGGGAAACGGAGGCTGCTACTGCTGGAGATGATTCGGGAGAGGTCTGTGCACCTTTACCGATCAGAGCGCGCGCTGACACGGAGTAAAGCCTTGTTTATACTCGACGCGTCCGCACGATCGCGAAGGTGCGCGCGGCAAAAATGACGCGTTCGGTGCGCAAGACCGGCAAGACCCCATTTGGCTTGGCTGTGTGTTTATATCTATGGGCTGTGTGCACGGCTTTTTTTTGTAACAGCGCGCGTCCGAATCATAGACTTCAAGCCGAATCTGCCCGAGCATGAACGTCTCACCGCACCGGCACGCAGTTTGCGCGTCTAAATTGCAAAAGTTCATTCCAAAGTTTTTTCGTTAAGGTTTTGTTACTGTGTGTGACTTATTAAAAAAAAAGCACGTTCATTGCAACGTTTGTTTGTTTTGTTAGTTAAGGATTTGTTTACTGTGTGATACATTTAATGGAAAGCACATTCACTTCTAGTTGTCTTGCTGTTCATGTTAAATAAATGTAGAGCCAGTAGCTAATCAGTGTCTGCTTGTTTATTCAAACTAAGTTGTCCTATAACAGACGAACAGTTATTCAACCCCCCCCCCCCCCCCCCCCCCCCCGACGACGGTTATGTTATGAACCGTCACATTTGACTCACGTCATAACCGTCATCACCAATTCTGAAACCGGCACACCCCTACATGTGATGCATGGACATCAAGAGCAACCAAGTCTTTTGTGACATTCACCGCTCACTACATAACTGATACGTGGGTGCTCGAATCCCGTGTTTTGCAAACTCGCGTGATGCACGAGAGCCATACAGCCGTAAATGTCAATGCCATGTTTCACTCCGTTGCTAATGAATGGGAGCTGACGGTCTCGGATCTGGTGATTGTGACTGATAATGCTGCCAACATGCTCGCCGCTGCACAGATTGACAACTTGGCACACATTACATGTTTTGCCCATACTCTCAACCTGGCTGCACAACGAGCTCTGAAGCTCACCACGGTGTCACGACTGCTTGGGAGGATCAGGCGAATTACTGGTTTCTTTCACCGCAGCGCCATTGCAAATCATGAACTCCTGGAAAAGCAGAAACTTCTGCAGTTAGCGGGTGCACAAACTGAAAACGGATGTCGCTACACGCTGGAACAGCGCGCTGGACATGATCGAACGATTCCTAGAGCAGCAGCCTGCTATTTGTGCCGCGCTGCTCTCCCCCCAGGTGAGAAAATCTGGAAGTGACATCTGCACACTCAGCGACACCGACATCTCCACTGCTGAGGAAATAGCAGCGGTGCTGAAACCAATGAAAGACGCAACCCACATAATGTCAGAGGATTCTATGCCTACACTCTCAGTTATTGCTCCTTTGCATGTTCAATTGCTGCACGACACGGAGGCAGCTGGCGTTGCTGCTGCTGACACACCAGTTATTCGGGAAATCAAACTGGCAATCCACGATGATCTGGCGAAAAGATACAGTTCTGCACGGGATAAGCGCATGCTGTACTCTGCTTCCTTTTTGGACCCCAGATTCAAGGCCCTGCCTTTCCTCACTGAGGAGGACCATCTGGAAATCCATGCCAATGTAGTTGCAGAGGCTGCAGCACTTGAGGTAAATTTATTATCTGTTCTTGAGTAATATATTATTTTCTAAAATGTGTAAGGCATTTATGCTTGCTGAAAATGTATGTAGATCAAAGTTAAATAATGCCATCTCATCTTGCAGGTTTTAAATTTATATATGCCTTTTTAATTTTAGTTAAACATAAAATATGGGACTTGTGTGACTATTTTGTACATAATTGATTATGACTGACATGATTGTTGAATTGTTTCTGTAGAGACAAGTGAACTCAGAAGAGGCTGAGGTTGAGTCTGAGACACCACAGCAAGAAGAAGGCCCTGCTCCAAAAAAAAGGCCCTCTGCACTGGTCACGCTATTGGGCAAGACATTTACTGAGGTCAGTGTTGTCCGTAGATCTGCCAGCTCCAGAGCTGAAGAGGAACTGAAGTATCTTGAAGCCCCTCCCCTGTCTCTGTCAGAAAACCCGCTCAGCTGGTGGAGGACCCATCAGACAGCTTTTCCTCTCTTAGCTGGACTGGCTAAGCGATACTTGTGTATCCCTGGCACTAGCGTTGCAGCTGAGAGAGTTTTCTCCACCGCTGGAGATATAGTAACAGCACAGCGAAGCAGTCTCACTCCTGCACATGTTGATCAGCTTATTTTCCTGCAAAAGAACCTGAATGTTGCATCTGCAAATGGACAGTAACCTTGGACACAGTTCATGTCCAGTTTTTTTCATGATTTGTTGAAAATCATATAATCAGTTGCACAGTTTACAGTTCTATTGTTGCAAGAGACACTGTCATGAATATTTCAGAGACAGGTAGCTTAGGGGTACTATTTTTCATTTTGAAAGAAGCATTTTATTTGCATAACTTGTTATTCTTTAAGTTACTGAGTCTGACTGAGAAATATAGATGTTTTTTTGTCTTCACCGGTTGTGTTCTACATGATATTTGTGTACTGGTAAACTGCAACTTTCCTGGGAAATGCATCTATTTTCAACCATTTTGTATTATGAAGAAGCACTTTATTTTTGTTCCAACTTATTTTATAGCTTGCTACTAATGAGTAGCAATTGAGAACCAGACAATGTTTTTGATAAAAGGCACTTCCCTGAGAATTGAACTTAATAAATGTGAAAAAGACACTTTAATGTCTCCGTTTGTCATTCTGTATAACAAAGCAGATGAGAGTAGATCATGATCAGAAACCCGATTATAAATCATTATGGATAAAATCGAATC